ACTTTGAAAATCAGTGTGGCGGTTTCTCAGGAAATTTGGGATCAACCTACCCCAGGACCCAGCAATACCACTCTTGGGAATATACCCAAGTAGGCCTTACCATACAAGAAAAGTATATGCTCTACTATGTTCATAGCAGCATTATTTGTAATAGCCAGAACCTGGAAACAACCTAGATGTCCTTCAATGGAAGAATGGATGAAGAAAGTCTGGAATATATACACATTAGAGTACTACTCAGCGGTAAAAGCAATGACATCTTGAATTTTGCATGCAAATGGATGGAAATAGAAAACACTATCCTGAGTGACGTGACCCAGACCCAAAAAGATGAACATGGCATGTACTCACTCATAATTGGTTTCTAGCCATAAATAAAGGTCGCGGAGTGTATACCTGGTGAACCAGAAGCTAAATAAGAAGGTGAACCCAAAGAGAAACTTATAGTTATCCTCCTGGATATAGGAAGAAGACAAGATTGCCGGGCAAAAAATTGGGATCTTGGGGGTGGGGTGGGATGGGGGTAAGGGGAGATGGGGAGAGAAAAGTGAAAAGGGGAGGATGGGGGAACTTGAGGAAATGGGATGCTTGGGATAAAGGAAGGATGGATATGGGAGCAGGGAAGCATATATCTTAATTAAGGGAGCCATCTTAGGGTTGGCAAGACACTTGAACCTAGAGGGGCTCCCAGGTGCCCAGGGCGATGTCCCCAGTTAGTTCCTTGGGCAGCTGAGGATAGGCAACCTGAACTGGCCCTATCCATACTGATGAATATCTTGCATATCACCATAGAACCTTCATCTGGAGATGGATGGAGATAGAGACAAAGACCCACATTGGAGCATCGGAATGTGCTCCCAAGGTCCCAATGAGGAGCAGAAGGAGGGAGAACATTAGCAAGGAAGTCAGGACCATGAGGGGTTCACCCAGCCACTGAGTCAGTGGGGCTGATCTATTGGGAGCTCACCAAGGCCAGCTGGACTGGAACTGAAATAGCATGGGATAAAACCGGACTCTCTGAACATGGTGGACAATGAGGGCTGATGAGAAGCCAAGGACAATGGCACTGGGCTTTGATCCTAGTTCATGTTCTGGCTTTGTGGGAGCCTAGCCAGTTTGGATGCTCACCTTCCTAGACTTAGATGGAGTGGGGAGGACCTTGGACTTTCCACAGTGCAGGGAATCCTGACTGCTCTTCAGATTGGAGAGGTAGGGGGAGAGGAGTGGGGGAGGGGGAGAGGAGTGGGAGGACGGGGAGGGAAATGCGAGGCTGGGAGGAGGCGGAATTTTTTTTTTCAATAAAAAAAAAAAATTCCAGCTTGAGATCTGGTAATCCCGTTCTTGCAGATAGGCTACAGAATCTGCATTTTGTTAAGACTGATTTTTTAGTGGAATTATTTTCAAGCAATCTGGGTTTAGGCTGCTGCTTAAGAATTCAATACCATTTTCAACACTTGGATATAAGAAAAGTCAATTTTGGAAGTTCCAGTGTAGTTTGAATAACTGAAATATTGAAAGTAAAAAGACATGATTGAGCTTCTGCTCTACATGAATAAGTGTTACTGGGTTTAATATAGATTGTTCCTAATGTGTGAGAGGATTTCATGTAATGAGTTAGAAACTGCTTCAGGACTCAGTTCCAAAGCTTAAAAAAATTAAAAATTAAGCAAGCAATAAGGCAACAAAGTCACATACTGTGGTTTTGGTGATGACCACTAGGTGGAAGTGTCGCACCGTGAAAAACCTTTGCTCCTCCATTGCTCAGGACTAAGTGGAAAGCAGCAATGGTCTTTAGAGGGCAGATGCCTGGCAACAGAATTCCTTCTTAAGCTTTTGTTGGCGCTGAAATTCGTCAAGCCCCCAAACTGCTTTTGTCTAGAGACGTTTTCCCCTTGGAAAAGTTGGAAAGAACCTCTCAAAAAAAAAAAATCATACTATGTCAAAATTATTAGTACATTTCAGTTTTGAAGCACCGCTTCATGGTTTCCTTTGTATGATAATCTCCATGATATTGGAGACACCAAACAGCTAAAACTGATGCCTGAGGGGCCTCAGGTGGCCAGAAGGACTTCCTGGTGGCTTGAGGGGTCTGGCAAGCTGAGCTGCAGCAGCTGCTGAAGAAGAAACTGGTAGGTGATTCAGTAAAATCTATTTTCTGGGCCCCTTGTCAGTTGCAGTGCTTCAAGCTTTGAACTGCAGGCCTCCGCAGTTGTCTAAGGGTGTGTTTATCTGATCTTAAACTCTAACTAAAATAAAATAAAATAAAATAAAAGGTGTGAAGGGCGTGGTCGCACAAGCCTTTAATCCAGCCTGGTCTACATAGCTCCAGGGTAGCCAGAGACACATAGTGAGACCCTGTCTCAAAAACTAACAATAAAACAGGTATGTGAAAGTCACTTTAAAACAATTCACAGTATGGCATATATGTGAATAACGCTCCGGTTTGAGGACAGAAGTGATCTTCATTTCTACAGTTTTAAGAGTGACAACTTCAAGGCTTTAGTTGATTAGATACAATTAGCCACATCTTTATAGAAAGGGTTGGGGATACATTAGTAAGTAAAGTGCTTTGTAAACCCTGGGTTCAATCCCTAGCACCAGAAAAAAGACCTTAACGGAATTATCTACAGTATTATCTCAGACTTTATCTTTGTTCTAAGTGTTTTAGAAATCATAGCTTTAAGTAGTCTGAACAACCACCTTATAAGAGAAGGACAAACGCTGCTACACCCATAAAACATGTTTAACCTCGCCACCTATTAGAAAATGCAAATCAAATTTACACTGAGATTCTGTTAAAATCTGCTGTACACCTGGGTACCCGTCCCTTTAAGAGACAAGTCCCGCCTTCTTCCACTGAGGAAAGAGGATCTTCAGCCTCCTCTCCAGCCTGCTCTCTTTCTTTGTGTTCCTCTTCTGAAGCGGTAACTATTGCCTCTCCCTTCCTTTCTCTCTTCTTTCCTCTTCTCCCTTTCTGTCCTTCCCCTTTCCCCTCCATAACCCTCTAAATAAATTCTATACTCAAACTCTCTCTGCATGGTATATCTGTCTCTCACCAGCTGCGGTCTCCCACCTGCCAAGGGGACACACCGCTGCCCCTCGTGGGTCCTTTCTCCGGTCCCCCATGTGTTTATAAACGATAACAGATTCCATCACGCCCTGTCAGAACACTCAACATAAAAATATGTTTAAATCAGCATATATTGGTGAGGACACTGGGTTGGGGGAGAAACCTTTTATCATTGGTGATAACTATTTTTGGATCCCCAGTAGTAGGTTTCTCCAATGATGCAATAAGCCAGATCAAGCTGAATCAAAAAGACCAGGTTTAATGAGGAAAGTGCCCCCAGGTGATGCTCAAGCCTCCCAGAAGGGGCGGTGTGGAGGAAGAGAAATCAGGTGGCAGGTTTAGGGACCTGAGCTTAAATATCCTGTAGGATGGGTCTTGAGCAGCTCCAGGAAGGAGCCTCCACTTGGCAGGCTTTCTGAGATACGTGGTGTTTGGAATGGGGTGGGGGAAGGCGAGACCAAAGGGGAGCTTCCGATGAACAATTGGCATGGATATAAATGACTGTAACCACTTTGGAAATCAGCATGAAGGTTCATAAAAAACTAAAAGTTAAAACTATCATATGACCCAGGATATATACCTAAAGGAGTCTTAGTATGTCACAGATATACCTGTATAGCCATTGTTATTTTTGGCACTTCACAATAGCTGAGCCTCAATGCCCAGCATAAGATGAATGAATAAATCATATTCTTTATTCATATATATATATAANAGAGAGAGAGAAATTTGCCATATACCCATTCTTTTATCTAGAGTGTTAATTGGCCAGAAAAGGGGGAGGGGAGTCATGTGATTTATAGGACAGTGTCACCACATCAGGTGAAATAAGGCAGAAGTGGGAAGATATATATTGCATGTTTTCTCTCATATTTGGAATCTGAAAAAGAAAAAAAAAGACCATATGAAAGTAATGAGCTACCAGAGAAGGGTAAGGGGGCGGGCATGAGAGGAAGAGGCTCTTAGGTGAAGGTGGTTGGGAAAGCAGATACAACCTAGGCGGTGATTTACACTTTTATGAAATAGTCACAGTGACGGCTATTGATAAGCACAATTGTATACATTCATGATGATAATTAAAAGAAAACTAGTGACCTTCTAGTTGCAACTTTTAAAATCGTTATTACTAGCCAAGGGTGATGGTTCACACTTACATAGACAGTTCATGGCTAGTCTGGGTTACAGGTCACCTGATCTCATCCCAGCCTCCATGATAACATCTTTAGCTGCGGCTAGATTTGGTGGCACTGGAAAAGCTGAAGCAGGAAGACCCTACGTTTGAGGCCAGCCTGAGATGATAGAGATCCTGTCTCAAAATAAAAAAAGAGATCACATTCATATTTTCAAATCACATATCTAATATTGAAGAGCTATATAAAATCTCTCCTGGAGACATGATGTATTTTGTATTATATGTATACATACTCTTGACTTGCTTGTTAAATTCTCTAGAAATAATTTAGTCACATATGGGGAGAATCAGCAATGTGCTCTACCTTCTGATGTTAATGAGTGAGCAATCACAAGGCTAGGTGGTAAGTGATGGAACTGGAGAAGTGCAAGTTTGTGAGAACGTAGTCACAGAGATAACCTTCAGAAACAGATAGACCTGACGCACTGTGCTCATGACCTGTTTTTGAAGAAACCCAGAATGGTGGTTTAAACTGTACATACAAATTCACAGGAAAAGAACTCTGCTTTCTTTTCTAAGACAGGGTCTCATTATGTAAGCCTTGGCTGTCCTGGAACTCATTCTGAAGACCAGGCTGATCTCCAAATCAGAGAACCACCTGCTTCTGCCTTGAAAGTAATGCTATCAAAGCTTGTGCTCTATACCTGGCTTTAGAAATCACTATTTTTTTTAAAAGTGCTCATTTTAATGTGTTTTTTTTTTATTTACTTTAAAAATGTGTTTGTATGTTGTCTACAGAGGTCAGAAGAAAGTGTTGGATCCTCTGGAATTGGAACTACTACAATGGTTGTGATCCATTGTATGGCTGCTGAGAATCGAACCCAAGTCCTTGGGAAGTGTTGTTCCCTGCTGAGTCAACTCTCCAGCCCTATAAAAATATTCTTTAGCAAGATGTAGGACAAAACATTGTATTTCTGTGTTAAATACCTTTTCTTTCTTGAACAACCTGGGAACATTTGCAGATTTCTTTTTAATGTTGATTATAGTTTCTATAGAGAAGTTGAAGAATAAGCATGGAGTAATATTTTCTTTTAGTTGTTAAAGTATCTAAGCACTTGTTTCTAAAAATACTTTAAATATCAAAAGTAAAGGAAAAAAGAATTAAATAAAGACAAAAAAGACTTTAAATATCAATAAACTTTCTATTCTTTGTGAAACTTGTCTTTCTTTTCTGCAATTCATAGAAAATGTAATTTCCTTAGGAGAATTATGGCCCCCCTAGTGAGAACTATATAGTTAGCCTCCAGTTGAAATTTGAAAAAGCAATAGTTTGTATTTGTAATATTGACCATTTTAAGTTTATGATAACTTTTGCTTATGTAAGAAATAAGTGCACAGAAATCTGTCATTCATATTGTGAACAAATAATAGAGAAAATATTCATAGGAACAGTGATTCATTGTTATTTTCTGTTAAGGTAAAAATCATCTCTGGAGGACAAGAGTTCAGTGAACAAATAGCGTGGCCACAGAATGACAAAGGCTTTCCTGTGAGTACAATGCAGAAGCAAGGACAGCCTTGATGTAATCAAAACATTACAAAGACCTCCTCACTGTTGATGAGTAATTTGATTTTAATGGTGATCTTTTGTTTGAGATCTGTAGGTTTTGACAACCAATATCCTTTCCCAAGTAGGATTTGGACTGGGGTGATACTCTTGAATACTGTTTCCTGTAACAGGTCTACAGTATGGGCTGCTTCTAAGCTCCAGAATAATCAAAGATATCCAACATTTTTGATATTTGATATTTTGGAGCAGGTCAAATATGCCTGCTCCAGATTCAAATAGAATGTATTTCCAGGAATGCTGTTCCAGGGCACTGTGGCCACGAACTTCTGTTGTGGTGTGAGAGGGAACCTATGGTGAATGAGGGTGGAAGGATGTAGGCTGGACAACATGGTGACTCATTTCAGCATACCCTGGGCATAGGACTGACACTTCTTGTCTAGGATCTGGTCCTGGGGGTGATTAGAACACCTCAGGGGTGGCAACTTAGATTGCAGAGCCTATAAAGTAGATGGTTGTAGGTATAGATTAATGATTGATTGATGACTCTTTCCTGTGGGCAGGGATAATGAAGAAGGCAGATCACTCAGTCAATTTATTCGTAATCGAGAAAAAGAAATAGTCAGCATTTTCATGGGAAAGATATTAAAGTATCAAGTTAGAGGAGCTAGAGATCTGATTAACAGGTCTTACTCAGTTTCCCCAAACCTTCAATAGAGTTCTGTCAGGTGAGAAACAGTACTTTGGAGAAAAAAGGAAACTGGGTGAGCAGATGTCATGGGGTACTGGAGAAACTGATGGCATCTAGTATCAGTCCTTTGGGCTATGATAGTAGAAATTTTATTTATAATTTGTCTTTTAATGTTTTGACAACTTGAAGGAATAGCTAAAAGAATGGCCATTTCTGTTTTTTTGGTTTTTTTTTTTTTTTTTTTTTTTTTTTTTTTTTTTTTTTTTTTTTTTTGAGGCAGGGTCTCACTATGTAGCTCTGACTGTCCTGGAACTCACTATGTAGAACAGGCTGGCCTTGAACTCACAGAAATTTGCCTGCCTCTGCCTTTTGAGTGCTAGGATTAAATGTATGCACTACCATGCTAAGCTAGGGCTGGCTATTTCTAACCCAGAGCTTCTGCGCAAAAGTGATTCCTGGGGTTCTAGGTGTCATGGTTTTAGATTCAGGGGATAAAATAAAAATGAGGCATTCTGTTTTAATAAAAATGTGCAACATCAATTCAGAAACATGAAAGATGCTCTGTTACAGTTCATCACGTGCTGGTCCATAGCCATTGGGTGGAATATTCTGCCTCAGAAGTCACAATAATAGAACTGATGTATTCTCTTTACATTGGTCATGCTATATCTGGCCAAATAATATATCTAGTGCCATTACATGCTAATTGGGACAGGTACTTTTTCTTAACTCTACTAATGGGATTCATATTTATGATTAAAAATCAGGTTACTTTGATGTAACAGAAACAAGCTTTCTATTATAGGTGTTCAGACAGCTCTCTTACTTATTAAAAGCTTATAGTTTCCCTCTATATCCTGTAAAGCTAAAGACTCATTTCATAGATCCTTCTTACTATCAACTTAGATCAGAAAATCTGGTTCTTTCCAGTTCTGAAAAAAGTGGAAAAATTATCCAGGGAGATTTATCTTCAGGTGATTGAAAAGTTTTTTGAATACTTTGAAGAAGAAAGAAGAAATTTTAAAAAAATCTCATAATGTGATAATAAAACAATGCTTGAGATTTTCCTTTAGATTTTAATAGTCAGTAACTTAATGCCTTAATGCTGACCAAATCTGTTCTGAGACCATGAATTAGACATAATTTGGTTGGTAAAATGAGGGAATACAATAAGACAGCCTACAAGAGTTTCATAATGCTGCTCTAAAAAGTTTCTATTTCTCTATGCTTAGTTATCTTTCTAATTAACTTTTAGTTGGCATATAAAATAATGGGTTTCACTATGATGTATGAATTTGTTTACATTACATAAGATGTTAAAACATAATTTTCAGGTCTTCAGATTCCTGGGGAAGAGATTTTAATGCTTTGTAATTTATGCAAAGATAAACATGTCCATTTTTCATGGTGAGGCACTCAGACAAAGCCTGCATTTATTAATATGGTGACCATGGAGGGCCCCTAGATAGTTTCAGGATGGGGGCTGACTATGTTAGAAATACCAAATGTGATTAGTAATTTGAAACGTTGAGTCAAATGGTCTTGTTTCCAACCTGTAGAGACAACAAAGGACTGAACGACATATCATGCTTAATATGTAATAAGACTCTAACAAAAACTTTAGACACTGAGACTCTTGTGAGCTTCTCAGTTGGTGAACATATTGATAAACTAGAAGGTTATGGCACTCTGATGTCCTTCCCTACCCTTCTTCTTCTTCTTTTTTTTTTTTTTTTATCTGTGGCTTTGGAGCCTGTCCTGAAACTAGCTCTGTAGACCAGGCCTACCCTTCTTCTTAAAAGACTGTGACTGTGTTGCCATTTCCTTTTCCAGTGAGGCCTAAACTTATCAGTTCCCCTCACCAGTGGCAAATGTTTTTGAGGCATGGGATATGTAGATAGAAAACCTGAGGCTACACTTTTCATGGTCCCAGAAAAGAGTGCTAGAGGTTTCTCTTCCCTCAAGGGTGTTGCAAGAGTGACTAAGAGTAATGTCATCATCAAAGGGAAATAGTCCAAGGTTCATAGACCATTTGAAAGAGAAACACTAGTTGGGATAAGCACGGGTAGGCAGATATTGACTACCAAAGACCCAGCAAAATTAATAACATCTCCATGGAGGTGTCTGTAAAAATGGAAAACCATCAAAAGCTATGTATAACAGTTATTGAAATGAAGGCCCTTCGCAAACTCTCTGGCACCCCAACTAAGTGACTAAAAACATGGTACTGAGTTGTTAACTTCACTGAATTTACCTAGAAATTATTTAATTAAAATTTCTATAATCAGGTGGTATTAGAAGCTCAAGGCAGACCTTTAATAAAAACATTTTTGCAAATTTGAATCTATGACTATAAAAATTTATTCTCCTCTAAAATTTAATGTAAACCAGATCAGAGTTCCCCTACATGATACCATTGATTCCCCTTATTTCCTCCCATGTGGTGTGAATTGATAGGCTATTCCTGTTAACATTCTCACATTTAGAGACCATGTGCTCTAGGGGATTTGGAATATATCAGGTTGTTAGTTATTATTATAATAACTGTTCAGTTAAATAAAGCTCTATGAGTTTGTATATTGAAAATGTCAGACAGTTCCTATTTATTTTAGCTTTGTTCCTTTTACAGCATGATCTTCCTATTTAATTATCAATTTAGCTTTTATTTCTGGCAAATCTTACTTATAAATAACTGTTTTCAGAATATTATCCACAAACAACCAACAGTTTTTTTCCTTAGTGGTAGAGCTGTTATATATGAGATTGTTGACTTTAGGTAGGGTTTGACCATGCATAAATAGTGGTCATGTAAATTCAACTTAAAGGATAAGTTGATCTGGGGAGGGCTGGGAGTCAAGGACACAGTTTAGACAAAACCATCTTATTGCAAATTGGATGAGCAAAGGAATTATGCTATCTCTAATTGTAGTTGTTAGTAAGCTTTCTGTCACTGTGACAGGTGCTGGAGATAACAGGCTTACTTTTGTTCACGGTTTTGGAGATTCAGCCCATGCTTGGCTCCTTTGTGGTCTGTGGTGAGCAGTTCATCATGGCAGAAGCATATGGTATGCAAAGCCACTCGCTTCATGGCTAAGAAATGAGAGAAAAAAAGAGGAAGAGATGGAGATTCCACTATTCCTGTGAGCTCCTCAACCTGAGGACCTCTCACTGAGTTCTATTTCTTAAGGATCCTCATCTTCCAGTAGGGCTGGTGAACAAACCTTGAATACAACTTTTGTGGTGTGGTACAATTCAGATCTAAACTCTAGTGATAATGAAAGCAGAAATTGCTATGGGAGGGCTGGAGAAAAAGCTCAGTGGTATGCTGAGGGCCTTAAAGTTAATATTTCATTAAAAACCATTATTGGAAATTATGATTAGTTTTTAATATCAACTCAGCTAGGCTGTAACACCTAGCTTTTCAGTCAAATACCTATCTAAATGTAGTTATGAGGATATATTGTAAATGTGGTTAGCAGATATAATTAAATTACTTTAAAAACAAGAAATTATTTTTAGTATTGTGGGGAGGCCTCAATCACTAATTTAAAAAAATCCCAACATTTTTATTGAAAAAAAAAGTCCTTAAAGGTATATATTATCTCCTGGCTCAGCATTTATAGCCTCCTTGCCTCTTTTGAAATTTCAAACTTACTACCACCACTGATAAGCCTGTTCCTTGAGAGCTCTGCCATTCTGTTTCTTTCTGTATCTATTTCTGTTTTTCCTTCTTACTCTGACTTGTTT